CATCTTCCAGCTCCCCAGATACTCCGCGTACTAAAGTTGTACTACAACTTCGCCAGTTCTCATCTTCCAGCTCCCCAGATACTCCGCGTACTAAAGTTGCACTACAAAGTCGCCAGTTCCCAGCTTCCAGCTCCACAGATTGCTCCGTTGTACTAGAAAGTCGCCAGTTCTCATCTTCCAGCTCCCCAGAGACTCCGCGTGCTCAAGTTGTACTACAAAGTCGCCAGTTCCCAGCTTCCAGCTCCACAGATTACTCCGCGTACTAAAGTTGTACTACAAAGTCGCCAGTTCTCATCTTCCAGCTCCCCAGATACTCCGCGTACTCAAGTTGTACTACAAAGTCGCCAGTTCCCATCTTCCAGCTCCCCAGATACTCCGCGTACTAAAGTTGTACTACACAGTCGCCAGTTCTCAGCTTCCAGCTCCACAGATTGCTCCGCACTACAAAGTCGCCAGTTCTCATCTTCCAGCTCCCCAGATACTCCGCGTACTAAAGTTGTACTACAAAGTCGCCAGTTCTCATCTTCCAGCTCCGCAGATACTCCGCGTACTAAAATTGTACTACAAAGTCGCCAGTTCTCAGCTTCCAGCTCCACAGATTGCTCCGCGTACTAAAGTTGTACTACAAAGTCGCCAGTTCTCATCTTCCAGCTTCCGAGATACTCCGCGTACTAAAGTTGTACTACAAAGTCACCAGTTCTCATCTTCCAGCTCCCCAGATACTCCGCGTACTAAAGTTGTACTACATACAAAGTCACCAATTCTCATCTTCCAGCTTTCCAGATACTCCGCGTACTAAAGTTGTACTACAAAGTCGCCAGTTCTCAGCTTCCAGCTCCACAGATTACTCCGCGTACTAAAGTTGTACTACAAAGTCTCCAGTGCCTGCATTTCGCGCACTCGACACGCACGATCTCCGCAGAGGGTTGCGCGCACACCGGACAAGTCGCACTCTCACCTGCATTTCGCGCACTCGACACGCACGATCTCCGCAGAGGGTTGCGCGGGCACCCGGCGAATCGCGCTCTCGCCTGCATTTCGCGCACTCGAAACGCACGATCTCCGCAGAGGGTTGCGCGGGCACCCGGCGAATCGCACTCTCGCCTGCATTTCGCGCACTCGACACGCACGATCTCCGCAGAGGGTTGCGCGCGCACCGGACAAATCGCACTCTCGCCTGCATTTCGCGCACTCGACACGCCCGATCTCCGCAGAGGGTTGCGCGCGGACCGGACAAATCGCACTCTCGCCTGCATTTCGCGCACTCGACACGCACGATCTCCGCAGAGGGTTGCGCGCGCACCGGACAAATCGCACTCTCGCCTGCATTTCGCGCGCTCGACACGCACGATCTCCGCAGAGGGTTGCGCGCGGACCGGACAAATCGCACTCTCGCCTGCATTTCGCGCACTCGACACGCACGATCTCCGCAGAGGGTTGCGCGCGGACCGGACAAATCGCACTCTCACCTGCATTTCGTGCACTCGACACGCACGATCTCCGCAGAGGGTTGCGCGCGGACCGGACAAATCGCACTCTCGCCTGCATTTCGCGCACTCGACACGCACGATCTCCGCAGAGGGTTGCGCGCGCACCGGACAAATCGCACTCTCGCCTGCATTTCGCGCACTCGACACGCACGATCTCCACAGAGGGTTGCACTTTCGGTTGACGCTGTTCGTCCCGCACTCCGCCTTTAAGAGAGCACTTATAAAGTGGGGAAATGTTTTTTCATTAGGACATCTCCCGTCCATACTCACACTTGCCTACTCATTGCATGCTTGCATAGTCATTGCATGCTTGCATACTCACCCTTGCATATCATGCTTGCATACTTACACTTGCATACTTTGACACTGGCATACTTCGCACTTGGATGCTTTCGCTCTTCCAGTGTGTGTGTGTGTGTAAGTGTGAGTGTCGAAGTGTAAGTGTCGAAGTGTCAGTGTTCAAAGGATTTTCCGGAAGAACCCTTCGCAGTGCTTTCGGGAAAAAACATTTTAAAAAAGCAAGAACATAGTACTGGTTATAGCTATAGCATCAGGACTGCAATTTCCCGGAACATCGAACATCGAACATCGAACCGATCCACTGAATCACGTTCGTCCTTCGGTTTCTCTCATGTTCCCTGCCAGATCACTCCCAACATTGCCTTGGCCTATAGCGAGCTCAACTTCCAGGTTGCCGCTTGGCGCAGGGCATTGACGGCAACAAGAGATTGTTGTTTGCTTTTTAAACTCCCAACTAACGGGGCAGGCGAAGAACCAAGGACACCGTTCCTCATGAGAAACGGAGAAGGAAGCAAGATAAGACGCGTGTTCGACACGAAGAATCACGCCGGCGAGCGATACAAACGGTGGAAGGGTGGTCCCTCAGGTCGCAAATCTTGTGGACTTGGTGAAGCAGAAGTGTGGCCCAATGTACCCAGGGCAAGGCCCAGAAGCGCGGCTTGTTTTTGGTTTGTTTGTGGCCTAAAACCATGCGTACGTGAGACATCTCGCTGGTAGCAACACTCATGATGGCTTGATCAGGAGACATCTCGCTTCGCTTCGCTCCCCAAAGCTTCAATTGAAACAGCCAATGTACCGAAGTGATTTTAATTCAGAAGATAGAGTTCATGTTTTTCCATGTCTTTTTAATGTTTCTCTTTAGCACATCATCATCGCCATCCTTGCGCGCCCGTGCTGTGTCGCCTGTGTGGGCGTTCTTGAGGTGTTTTCTTAGATTTTGGCAGCGGCTGTGGGAAGTTGGTCTTAGCAGCGGCGCTGCTGCATCCCTTCCAGAAGGCGCACAGCGCGCGTTGGGTGTGTCATACAAGCCCCGCATCCCCGTGGTAATGCGCATCATGGTGGGGGGAGGAAGGCAGACAATCATGAGCGAAAAAGGCCAGAAAGGGTGCCTCTGAACCCCAAAAGTATTTGATCATATTTGATCTAGTGTTAGCGTTCAAGAACAACAGTTCTTGAGTCCTCATGCTCTAGGCGATCATGTTTTGCCCACACGAGACATGTGTGTAATTGCATAAATGCATGCAGATGTTTTGCTCCCTCAGCACACACCACAGGTCATCGGCATTGAAGCGCTTCAAAGCCTCAATGAGATCGAAGCTGCTGTTCAGGCGAAGTATGCAGAGGCGGGCCTGCGAAGTATGCAGGTCGAGCCACTGCATCCCTGTGGAAGATTCCTGGTGAGTAGGTGGTCAAATGCATGGTCCAGTCATCAACCATCGATGGATCTTAACCTCTTTGGTTCGCCCTGCAACATCTACTTCGAAGCAAGCTGTGACCTTTCTGTGCCTGCACCTCGCCTTCTGGGCCAGCCGTGGCTGGCGAGACAGGCTGACTACCCACCTGTCTCGCCTGCAGGTGGAGGTCCCTGAAGGCGTTGTGAAGCCAGAGGTGAGCTTTGTGAAAGGCATCCGATCGCGCTGCCGGGGACATCGGCAGGTGTCAGTGGTCGTTGAACCGTTTGCTTGCGTTTGAGATTCACGCGGCCGCCTATAGTATTACGATGAGCATGGCAAGATGATCATGTTTATACAGCCTTGGCTCCTTCCAAACAGTAAGATATCTTGAAAGATCCCATTGTATGCCGTTCACAAGACAAAGACAGTTCAGGGCTGTCCCCTAAGCTTTTCAGGAAGTCGGTAGATGTCTCCCGATTTGGCTACACATGGCCCGTGGTGATTTTACATATTATTGCATTAAATCATGTGTTTCCCTTCTCCACGACCACGATCTGATCTCTCTCCGTCTCGTTCGGAACGCCCCGTTCAACGCCCCGTTCCTCGGCGTGGGCTCCAGCTCCACGCCCCGTTCAACGCCCACCGGGCGACCAGGCGACTTCGTGTCGGAGTTCGATGCGGTGCTGGAGCCGATCGCACCCGAGGCCCGGTCACCTCGGGAGGCCCGTTTCGAAGTTCGTTCCTTTCGGCCAAAGCGGCTTAAGAAACACATACTATTATTTTAATATCTATTAATGCTTTGGGGATCTTTGGGTTTTTGAAATCCAAACAAGCAACATGCTGTCCCGAATTCTATCTGGCTGAGAGATGTTCTGTCCCGAAGAGTCTAAATGGGACATAGTGGGATGCACTTGGGCACCCCAGACCAGCACCGTTTTCCAGCTGGTCTCTTCGTTTTCATCATCTCAAACACCGCCTAGGTCTAGGTGCAAAGCTCCATTCTTTTTTTCCACCACCATTTTGGTGCAGCTCCATCCGGTTGCAGCCGCTGTCCACTCTGCCCGAAAAGCTGGGACACTCTCTCAAGGCCACCTTTGCGATTGCAGTGGCCACAACCTTCGGAGACCCCGAGATGCAGGCGGTCTCGAAGCTCGCACAGAAGATGCCCCAAGGCCCGGGAAACCGCCGTTCTTCGATGGCGGTCTGTAGTCACAGTGGTGAAGTTGAAATGTTGGGAGTTGTGACAAACGTTTGCCACCTCTTTTTGCTCCCCTTTTCCATTTTCTAAATCTATGTGAATGACCAGCGCCGCAAAGTTTGGCATGTTTGGATACGAAGTTGCATGTTCTACTGATTTTGGTTACACTGGTTTACGCACTCAACTGATCTCTGTCACGTGCCTGGCAGGTGCTTCTTTGTTTCTGGTCACACAGAAGCTGGAGGAATCACTTGTGGTCGATGCCATCACCTCAGCTTGTGTGATCCGGTCCGCTAGGCTAGATCCGGTCCGAGGACAGAAGGGCGGAGCTGCTCTCGAGCTGCTCCTGATGATTCATCCACCAATTGATCAGTTCAAGTCATGGACAGTGTCAGATTTCAGTTGGTTCAACTTGAGATGAAGCCATGGACAGCAGGACTGAGTAAAGAGCAACACCAGTTAGCACGGAAGCCTTTGTGGCTTCCGTGCTCCCGTGCTCCGTGCTGGCACCCATCCTGTTTATTTTGCTATTCGCTTCTTGTCACGTTCGTAAGGCCAGGAGCGCCCCCTTCGCTTCGCGGCCTTTCTCGCTCCGTAACTCCGTCGCGATGGCCGGATCTGCTCTCCGCACCGTCGGCGCCGATCCCGAAATGGGGCGGTCGGGTTTCAGGTGAACCGCAATCCTCGGCAGCGACGCTCCGTGGCGACCAAGAAAGCGCTCGCCCAGCGAGGGGTCGAGCCAACAGGCGACCGACCGCGGGTCCAAAGGACCGAGGACGACGAAACCAACGGCGGGACCTGCCGGGCGACTGCGGACTGCGGTAGATCCTTCAAAAGAACGGTCAGTGTCCACCTGCTATCATAGCCGTGCACCACCAACTCAAGCAGGGTGGGCCATTTCCTGACTCAACACTTATAGTCATCAATCCATGAGAACTAAAAGGACAAGGAAGGCTTTTGCAGAAGATGGGGAATTAGGGGGAAACTGTTGCAGTATACCAAATTTGATGCTAATCATCCGACAGATGGGGTCTCTCTAAATGGCGGCGATGTCTAAAACACTGGAATCACTAGAATCCTTCGGCTTTGTCTACAATGAGCCCACTGATCCAATGGGCTGGAGCTTCAAGCTTCTTTTTACATTTTACATAATTTTTTACCACTCAAGATGTGAGCGTCTATTGTTCTGAATTTGGATCGTTCTTCCCTCGTTTATCCAAGCTATGCTGGTCTTACAAGCTATATACTATATACAGTTCCAGACACTCCCAATCTATATCCATTCGTTTGTTCAGGCATTGAGATCGAGCTGGAACCAGCTGAAAACGATCCCAATGGCTGGAGGCGACTCGTCGCTGCCGTGACCGGGGCCGAGACACGGGATCTGAAACCACCGGGCACGTCCAGGGGGCACACCAGATGTTGGAAACATTTAAATTTGGAAACCACAGAAATAACAACACAGACTCAGTGACTTTTTGCTATCATCATGCTGAAGAGCTCGGGCGAAGAGCTGGGTTTCAGGAGATTTCAGCACGAGTTCATGCAATTTGCATCAATTTGCATGATCATGCATGATCCCCAAAAAAACAACCTCTTCCAGCAAAACATCGCCGCTCAGGTTGAAGGACACGGTGCCCTTGGAATTGGAGTGGGGTACTACGAACTGCTGCTTGACTTGCACAATGAAACCAAACCGATTCTGGCACGACAGGGTCGGAGAAAACCATCCTTCGATTCACATCCCAGATGTGGTCCACAGGGTCAGTGTCAGTTCTTCGTTCGTGGGGTTTCAATTCTGACAACGGGAGGCGAACTGGGTGAACTGACCCCGTCAAACTCGAGTGCTTCGTGTCAGCACGCCATGGGATGCCGACATGGGCAGCTTGCTCGACATACGATGCCGGGAGATCTAAGGTTATCTCTACAAGAAATACAGCTATCCATATTGCGATGTCGTGGGCTGAGAATCTGACGGAAAGATTCCATGATGACACACCTGTCGTGGGAGATGCAGGATGAAAGATGAGGAACGTGTTCTTTTGATGTCTTCTATCCCAGTGCATATTGAGTCGACCGTTCACTGCTCAGAGCGTTCAGAGCGCCTATGCAGTTCATCTCTGAAGGTCAACGACATTTGCATGGCCACACCGCTGCCAGAAGCAGAGGTTCCTGGGCTTTGCTCTTGCTGCCTTATACAATCACCTTTCAGCTTTCAGTGGACCTGGGCAACCTTAGTCTAGCTGTGAACACCTACTGTGGGTCAGGAGACTAGAACAGATACCACAGTCATCCACAGTCTGTTCCTTCATTCACTGATCCACTGGTTCTTGGGTTTGTTAGGTCAAAGTGTTGTAGAGCCTGAAGTTTCTAATGTGATCTCTAGGTCCGACTCTATCTAGGCCTGGTAAACAGTCTTTGCATCGTGCACCATACTCTTCTGATCTCTTCTGATATTTGTTCTGACCTTCATGTTACGTGGACCAGACTGTTTGGTTGTTAGGTCCAGGAAGACTTATCCCAGAGGTTAAGAATCTACCAGGGACTCGTCGCTGCGACGAGCGGGTATTCATGCGGAATCCCTACTCAAGTTTCGCCGTTTTGACGGAATCGACCCACGAATTGCAAGCAATTCAGGAGTCCTTCCAAGAGAGGTAGAGTATAGCCACAGTCACAATCAATCCTGACACACTGAGGACCAGACGGTGGTGCCAGCCTTCTACATGAGTCCAACAACCGTAGTGTGCAGGCCTCAAAGTGTTGAGATGTTCAGCCTCTTGGCATTTCTTGTATCCAATGATCCAACGAGGTAAAGCGGTTTCTACTTCAAGCAAACCACCCAAAAGCTGTGTATACTGTAGCCGCTCTGTTCTTTCCCGAGGTACATGGACGATTTGGCAGAGATCGAAAAGGAGGTCTCCAAGACTGCACCATTTTGTGAGGCGAGGTGTCTCAAGCTGGTTTCTTGGGTCCATTGAGCAAAGTAGTAGGGACAGGAGCCGTCCGAACATCACGGTTCCTAACTTAGATGATCCTTTCATGTTGGGAATTTTGCACCAAACAACGCGAGGAAAGCCGGAAAAAGGCTGTGACCATTTACGAAAAGACGCCTGGCCGCAGCTGGACATGCGTCGGTCTTGGACCGCCGCCCAAGCTGGACAGCACTTCGACGGTGTTGTCAGGACATGTGTCGACTAGCAAAACCGTGAAGACGTCGCGATTCATCGCTTGGTGAAGCCGCTTGGTTTAAGGAAACTTGCGGCTGCAAAGCAGAAAGCGACCGAGATGCTTTCAGAGGCAGTGGCAGAGGCCTTGGCCTGTGTGCGGCTGCTTGGCTTGGAGAAGAAGTTAGTGGCTGGACGAGTTTTCAGAAACGGATGTCTTAAGCAACACCAACAACATCCAACAACCATTGATTTAATGGTCTGAATCCCAAAGAACCATTGGTTTAGTCAGGAATTTACTGTGCCTAGCCAGGTAAACCGTTCTTTTAAATGGGATGTCTTAAGCAACACTGCAATTTTTGTCAAAGCCAATCAGGCTAGGTATATTGCCAAAGTCAACGGTGATCAACGGTGTGTTACCCCAAGGTTTTTGCCAGGGTTCGGTCTTTAGCATTCTTGAATTGTCGCGTGATGGATCTCAATGACACTTGAACATAATTATGACCTGCAACGATCAGGGCTGCTGGTAGCACACGACAGATCGACACTGTGACACTGACGCCCAAATCTTATGTATGGCAATGTATGGTGAGAGAAGGCCGCCTCCAATCACCATTCCTCTAGCCCAGCATGCTGTTGATATCAGGAAGGAGAGTGAAGCTTACGCGCAAGACGGAAACGTGCACTACAAGCTGGAAGAGGCACGCACCAAGAATGCATTTGCCTGCAATTCAGTGGTTCGAACATCCTGGTCAAGTGACCACAATGATAGCCGCATTGCAGATGAACGAGTTTAATAATTAGATGGTTCCCCCACATTGATCAGAGACAATTTTTCTGATGTGGGGCACTGTTGGCATAGCAAAGGGAACTCACCATGAGAACAAACAAAAGACAGACCGGTAAATAATTTTATCTATTCTTCTTGCAAGACATGAGATCTTTTTTCAAGCACTTCCAGGTCTTGCTAATGTTGCATACGGTCAGGCTTCAGACACTGCTAAGCTGCTGGAGGCATTGAGACATGGCGCAAAGTGGCGGGCGGACAATTCCACCTCAATCTCTGGGAACATTCATAAGACTGGACATTTTTGAGTGAACCAACCTTAGAAAGCATCAACTCCTGCCATAGCTTAGATCTGTTAGCTCCAACGATCTCAATCCCAGTGTCTTTGCTCAGGGTCTTGTAAAATTCAGGTGAGCGCCTGAGCGTGAGCGCCCTCCGCGGGAGGGTCATATAGGGGTTTTCCAAGTGGTTGCCCCAGAAGACTTTCAGTCCCTGGTGCATCACAGCTGAACGCTGCGATTTCGATTTTGTTGGAAGCTTTGTCACCCAGCTCCCGGACTGAAACCAGTTTCTCTAGAGGCCGAGGCTATTTTGGTTCGGGAATCCAGCTTCCAACACAATCTTTCAGATTTCTTTGGGGCATTCACGTTTGATGTGTTCGTCTCTGTCTATATAATTTGAGGTTCCATCTTCAAAAAAAGGGGGCGATATTTTCATGCGTGGAAGGGACGATAGAGGGCTGAAATTCACATGAATTCACCAAACTTGTAGTATACGTTTACACTCTTTCTATCTCTTTCTGGTATTTTTAGACAAATTTGGCCCACAGTCATCTGATCATGCACACACTCACAGTCATCTGATCACACTCCAGAGAACCCCAGAACTCATGTAATTCCTTGTTCCTAAGGATTTCCGGAGAGGGTCTTCCATCCTCGCCAAAGGCTGGTCGTGGGCTGGGCTGAGGGGCCACTGGGTCCACCGTGATGTGTCGTTCGTCAGACGGAGCGACGTCCACATAGTCCACTTCTGGAGATCTGCAGGTCTACTCCATTGTTGGCTTTTTGGTGTGATTGGACATCTTTGGACATGCTTTCAACCATAGCTATAATATAGAACTATGTATAGATAGACCTAGTACCTGACTGTTTCCTTTTGTGAAGATCCTAGAAGTATGTGTCCTAGATTCAGCAGCCACGTCCACCATTCATGCTGTTGTTCAAGATTAGTTCGGGTTTTGGTCGGCGTCGTCAAGTGCAACTCGAATCTCATAGTTTCACCAGAGTGTAAAGATTTGGTTAAGGATATTTCCAATCAATCCAAGCTTGTGAATGTTTGTAGATATTCGTGAATGGCTTGTGGATGCATTTCCAGGTGACAGAATTCATGGGTACACAATGGTTGGCTGCCTGTGGAGAACTCGATCCTGAAGCTACAGGCCAAGACTGGGGCTGAGTTTCTTTGCGGTATCAACTTTTGCATGACTCTGAGAACAAAGCTAGCTGATAGCATGTGCAATGCGAGCATGAGCCTTTGCTTCAATGCACAACCCCCTCTTGTTCAGTTCTGTCAAGACAACTGCCTATTACACACCTGCAGTCCCCAGCTTTGTTTTGCAAATTATACACCTAGCTGACATCATTTGACTGTCACCAGGAGTGGTCCCTGAAGCGCAACTCCCCGCTCTTTGGGGCAAGGCACGGTCGAAGCGGACTCCATGTCTATCGAATCATCCTTTGTTCGTCGTGGCCTTTCTTTGCGACGGGTTGGACTCCAAGGTGAAAGCCGGCTTTGCTGAGCACATCGAAAGTCGCTTGGTCCGTGACGCGTTTGGACTCTGGAAGTGATGGACTGTGAGATGCAGAGATACATGGAGAAACATCTGCGACTCTGAGCATCATGAATCATGACCATCCTCCAAAACGAAGAGAAGACGCAAGCCGACCTTCCGGCCTTCCGGTCCCGATGCTGGTTTCCTTTTTTTCCGCTCATCAGCCTTGTTCAGTTCGCTGCACTGGGGATACCTGTTCGAATCCTTGTTTTCGAAGCAGCATGATAGAAACCGATCAAAACGGACAACGGACATCTGTTCGTCACACTGAGGAGCACTGAAACAGTTGAAGGACTTTGGAGGTGCGACGGGCATTCACTCCTTGCCACAAAAGACTGGAGAGGAACTGGTGCAGGGCTATTAGGATGAGTTCCTCTACAATACCCCATCTGGGGCATTGTTTTTGTTTTTCAGTTAAGGGCGCCTGACTTCTTTTGAGGACTCATGTTAGTAGCATATCTCAACCATTGTTGGAGTTTATCACAGTTCATCCTTCCACAAACTAGCATCTGGCAACATGTGGCACCTACTTTTTGGTGGAGTCTGGGTCTGAGGAAGTTCTCATTTTTCAATCACCCATCAGGGTGAGGCGTGTTGCGGATAGGAGCCATGGGAGGGTATGCCTTTGTGTCCTCTGCTGGCAGTTGAAGTTCCAGAATCTGAACATCGGCCACAGGAGTCCGTGCCCTGATCGGGCTCGAGAAAGATTGACGGCGCATCTCCAAACATGGGCAGATTCGCGCCGGCAATGAGGTTTCACTACTCCTGAGCAATGTTCAAAACGGATCTAATCAGAGTCATTCAGAGCAGCTCATTGATTTTCTTATAGTTCATTGATTCAATTCAGCTTTTCATGTTTGGCCCTTTCCTAACACCACTTAATTCGCCCGGAAAGAAACGGTTTCACCCTGCTCGCCGAAGCTCTTGCGAAGCATAAAATCTTGTGCTGGCTGGGGCATCGCAGCTGGGAAATTCGTCTCGAGGCCTTTCAACCTTTAGCCTTCATTGATAGTGTTTCTTGAGCCATAATATGCCCTGAATAAAGGACGAGGCATGAGTAGCAGAGGGAGCACATTGTAGCCGTGGTACTTGCTGCAACGGCAGCTGAATGGCTGAATGATTGTCCTTTGTATTCTTATGGTCCTTGTCGCACTGGCAGCTGCTGTAGTCTGAGTTCGACTATCCATTCAGCAAGTCATAGACTGTCTAGGGACGCCTGTCTTGGCTGTTTGTGTTGTTGTCCTTCTCTTGTTCTCCCTATATCTCCTCGGTGTTTAGGTCCACAAACCGGGCTGTTGCTTTCAGACGGATTCGACTGGACGAACTCTTCCCAAGCGCGACTGGGTCTCTTCTCGCACGACAGGCACGAGAAAGATCCAATACGACCACCTGGGAGATACCAAATGGATTCTATACGACGCATAGATCGGATGTGGTTGGTGTTTCACCATGTGGCTTTTTCTCAGCCGCTGATGCCTTGCAACACCGCCCTTCTGTTCCCCTTCTGTTGGCATCGCAGATTTACATCGAAGCACTTGTTGACTTGTGCAGGGCCATGGGCTCGTGCAGCTGGGATCCCAACGGCACCAGGCACGGCACCAGTGGTCATGGTTCGTGTCTAGTACGGTCGAGAGATGGTTACCCTTCATGGTTTCCCTTCATGATCATGTTGCTTGAAAGTCATCTTTGACAGTATCAATGGGCATCAGTTACCCTTCATGTTGTTGAGAGATGGTTACCCTTCATGTTGCTTTCAGGCGGTTGATTGAAGTTTGAAGCACAAGTTGTTTCGTGCACAGTAGAGAGGTATTTTTTCGGTGTGTGCGCGAATGTGCCACTGTTCCATTGCAGGCGCAAAACGTCAGCTACCTCGTCCCTTTGTTGGAGGCCCGATGAAATTGGTTTGCTAGGGGCAGGCACATGTTTGGCTTTGCTTCTGGGGCATTCTAGGGCATGGTGAACTAAGCCGTGGAGACGAGTGTTAAAGACACACATACGTATCCAAAGGATTGGAGTAAACCCAACAATGGCTTCTCTAGCTTGATGAGTTTAGAGTCATGGCTCAAATGCAGCAATGATGGATTTGATAATCTCTCCTTCCAGCACTTACCTGCGCGCCACGCAGGTGGATCATGGTGTGCCAAGTTCAGCAGAGCATTTGGTTGCTTTGGAGGATGGCACTGCAGCCACTGCCTTTGTTTTTCGTCCAGCCGAAAGCCGTTGACCAACACACTGCAGAACACCAGACCTCGCCGCGACTCACGGTCGCCGGCCGTAGACCTCGTAGATCGTCAAGGCCGCCGTTCACGGCGCTTCGTTCCGATTCTTCGAGGACTGACGGGCGATGTGCTGTTCTTGTGGGTGTGACACGATGAGACGAGCGTGTCATGGAGTTTGGGGGTAAGAACGATAAATCGTTTTTGAATGGTTTTGATCGGTTTGGGACCTTTCAAACAGCACACGCACACACCAGATAGTTATTTGCCCTGAAACCATGGCGTTTGTGTTTTGGAGATCGAGCCCAAGCCTTCCTTCTAAGAAGGCTCGACTCGACCATGCTTTTCGCGCAACATATGCCTAGGTCTTGGGACTGCTTCCCAACGGCACAGTGCTGGTGCATCAACTTGAACCACCCTTTGTGTGGCCCGGCTTGCACGCATCGACGTACATGTCAGATATGTCCGGCAAGGACCTGCAAGGACAGTCCATCATCAGCATGACGTTGCTGAAGATGGTTCCAATCTGTGGTCTTCCCCTATAAATCCCCATCCATGCATGTGAATTCCCTCTCAAAGATCTGATCAGTTCCAACTAAGTGTCAACTCTTGAAGTTCCAACCTGTCGTCCTTCTTCGTGTTTGGATGGTTTTTTCGTTTGGAAAAACCTCGTCTGAACAGTCGTCCATTCCTCCCCTCATCGCCCAGACCACCGCCTCTGAGGTTTGAGCTTCGACTTCCAGGCGCCACCGGCGCCCGGTCGGGCGGCCCAGGTCGTCGGGCCAACGATGGGGGCGAACGGTGCGAGGGGGTCGTTTTTGGTGGTGATGGTTTGTGGGTCGCGGAGGTGGAGCAACACGGGTTGGGAGGGGGGTGCAGGCAGAGTAATCAGTAGATTTCGATGTTCTGCTAAAAATTAATTGTCCTCACCTCTTCGATGATTTAGCTCCTGAAGATGTGTGGAGATGTGCAATTCGCTGTTGCTCAGGTGGTCAGGCCTTTGCTCTCCTGGAGGTCGTGATTTGTTGCTGGTCTGGGAGCCCTGCTATAGAGGCCAATAACTGGAAGTAGTGCATTTCCCAGTCACTCCAAGTATGGCATATTTGCATACATTGGGGTGGTTGACCTGGGGCCAATGTAGGTATTAGGTATATATTCGATACATGGGGTGTTTTGGGTTTTGATGAACACCAAATTCCAATGCGAGTTTGTCTTGTAGCATGGGCTATCGGGCTGCCGGCTGTCGCACCGGGGTCTCATTTATTGTTGTTTTGAAAAGCCCCAGGTGGGAAAGACTCACAAGGACAGGGACTTTGCCATTTGGAGGACTGAAAGCCATGCGCTGGCATCCAAATGCCAGCCCCTCGACGCGGCCACAGGGTAGCAGCCCGAACAAAGAGCAGTCCTTGCAATACCCTTGCAAAGCTACCTCCCAGATGTGAATTTCGGGGATCCTCTCAGCGTGGTTCTGCGCAGGACGCATTTACCTCGATGGCTGTGACTCCACAGATCCGACACTCGGCTGCATCGGCCGCTCGGCTGCATGTCTGGCGTTTGACTTGTTCGCCAACATTTGACGACTGAAGGCAGTCTGCAGCTTGCAGATGCGTGAGAGTGGGCCATGGGTTGAGATCAAGACATACCCAGCTCCATCCGAAAGCTTCTTCGAGGCACTGGCAAGCTCGACGGATGAGCGCGGGACGTCATTGGCCTGTGATTCAAAGCCATTCATAGCCCATGGCCTTGTACATAATCTCGAGCGCAAGCGTGGAGAAACATCAAACAATTGGGATGGCAAGAACTGGTTGGACGGTTTCCATTCTGGTGAAAGCGTGTCAACCTACAGTGCAATGTCTAGCTGGGTTTACTGAACTCATCCTGGGTTGTTCGGAATGCCGCGTGAACCAACGACCGTTCACCGATTCATCCTCTATCCTCCGACTCAGTCGTCGTGGTGCTTCAGATCCAAGATCTGCCATTCTCCGCCCCATCTCCTGTCGCGACTGGGTGAATGGTGATGCGCCGGTCCAGGCGTCCAGGCCACCACCGGCAAAGCATCGAGAAAGAGGTCTTCTCCTCCCACGGCTCGATCCCCCCATCGAAGCAAAAGATGGTTAATCCGAACGGCAATCCAGTGAACCACTGGCACAAGGCTATCCTACGAAGACACATGATTATTGAATGTATATACTAATAAGTTTTCCCGAAAGCATTGCGAAGGGTTCTTCCGGAAAATCCCTTGAACACTGACACTTCGACACTTACACTTACACACTGACACTTCCACCACATTCGCACTACATACACTGACACTTCGACACTTACACTTACACACTGACACTTCCACCACAGTGTAAGGGGAAGAGCGAAAGCATCCAAGTGCAAAGTATGCAAGTGTCAAAGTATGCAAGTGTAAGTATGCAAGTGATGGGTATGCAAGCACGCAGTGTAAGTATGCAAGTGATGGGTACGCAAGCATGCATTGAGCATGCAAGCATGCAATGAGTAGGCAAGTGTGAGTATGGAAAACTAGCACGGGAGATGTCCTAATGAAAAAACATTTCCCCACTTTATAAATTCTCTCTTAAAGGCGGAGGGCGGGACGAACGGACCGAAAGTGCAACCCTCTGCGGAGATCGTGCGTGTCGAGTGCGCGAAATGCAGGC